GACAGAAACCTATAAATACTTGGGCATGGCAGAAGCGCTAGGAATTAATGACAAAAACATTAAAGAAAATTCAAAAGTAAAATTTATGTCAAGATTAAAAAAAGTTATCAAAAGTCATTTATCTGGCGGAAACAAAATTAGAGCATATAACTCCTGGGTAATACCTAGCCTTCTATATACTTTTCGTATTACAAGATGGTCTCAAACGGAATTGGATGACTTAGATAGACGAGTCCGCACATTAATGACTACGCACAGAATGCACCACCCGCGATCATCTGTCATGAGGTTGTATCTTCCAAGAAAAGATGGTGGACGGGGCTTATTAAACATTAAAAACCTACACAACCGTGAAGTATACAACCTCAGAGACTATTTTATTAAAAAAAAGACACATCACGCATTCATAGTGACGTAGTGATTAATGACAAATCATTAACCCCGCTTAATATGTCGGCAAAGGACTGGCAGAGGCCTCGTACTATGACTATAGATGAACGCAAAAAGGTTTGGAATGACAAACAACTGCATGGTCGATTTTTTAAAACATTGACTAATCCTTGTGTAGACATGGTTGCATCAGTACATTGGTTACAGTTTGGTGACATTTTTGCAGAAACTGAAGGGTTTATCTGTGCAATACAAAACGAAGTAATTAAAATGAATAACTACCGGAAGTACATTTTGAGGGATGGCACAGTTGACGTATGTCGCGCATGTCACCACCCTGGAGAGTCCCTCAGACATGTTATTTCCGGTTGTTCACAACTATCAAATGGCGAGTATTTGCACAGACATAACCAAGTAGCTAGAATAATACACCAGCAGCTTGCGATTAAATTTGGTTTTACTCAACAGGACGTTCCATATTATAAGTATGAACCAAAACCAGTCCTTGAAAATAGAAGTGTCACGATGTACTGGGATCGGTCAATTATCACAGACAGGTTTATAGTGGAAAATAAACCTGACATTGTGGTGATAGACCGAACTGCACGCAAGGCAATAATAGTGGATATCAGTGTTCCTCATGACGAGAATCTCGTGAAAGCAGAGAATGATAAAAAGATAAAATATATCGACTTGGCTCATGAGATTGTCGCTATGTGGGACGTTGATTCTACTATTATTGTACCAATAGTTGTTTCAGTCAATGGGCTTATTGGTAAAACTATGGACGACTATCTATCCAAGTTGGGTTTGGGCAAATGGCTGAAGGGATTAATTCAAAAATCGGCCTTATTAAATACGGCTCGAATAGTGAGAAGGTTCCTATCTTTGGATGCCTAATTTCACCGATGGCTTAGGATTCCTCGCCGCGGTGGATAATAGCCGAAATAATAATATTATTTATATAGATTGTATTTATATTTATAATATTATAGTTTTGTGACAATATATATGTGATAATGTAATAATAATCATTTATTTCAATCTATCAGATCATAGTTACATTTGAAATGAAATAAAAATTTTGATTACATTTGAATTAAATTAAAATAAAATTGAATTATATTAAATTAAAATTATTAACTAGACTTAAAACCATTAAAACCAAATTAACATCATAGATCTTAAAAAATACTTCCGCTGTATTCAACTCTTAGGTATATAACTCTTAGGTAATATGCACAAAGTGTTGTATATTTGATTGCTTCGTAAAATTAGGTAAACAAACACGGTGATGGGATTCCTTATTAATGTGGTAACTATGGTTTATGTTCAGCAGTAGAGATTGATATGGGGGGTAATGAATAAATAAAATACGTAAAATTTCGGTTTGCATTCAAGCAACGAAAGTTAAAAGATTTTATTTCTTATAGAATAGAGTAACAAACGAACACATAGTCCACTTGATAGTAAGTGGTTGCTGAGGCCCGTAGACTTCTACATCTATCCTCAATAAAGAATCAAAATGCAGATGCGTTGTCACCCGTGAGGACTAAGATGGAGTGGCTCTTTTCCAGTAAAAAGGATCTCCGCTTCTCTACACTCAGCATACGAAACACAGCAATGTTAAGCTGCTATTTAAAGCCGCGTATCCACCAAAAATGTTGACAACATTTATGTTTCCAACTGTTTCCAACAAGCGTCTCCACCGAGGGAACAAATGTTTGCAACAAGCGTATTTATTCCTTTGATGTTGCCGCCAAAAATGGAAACATGGTTCCCGACATTGTTCCATGTTTTGTTGCCAACACAACAGTTGGTAACAAAACTTTGGTGGAGACGCGGCTTTACGCTGGTATTCTGTGAGAGCATGGTCTTTCCTGGTCGAGCCGACCCATTCGTGCTACAAGTATACTACTAATATAACTGCAGCATGGCTCTACCACGCATAAAAAGTACTACGTATAAAATATTTGTAAAAATGCTTGAATTCTTATCATTTATGTAAACAAGTATCAAGCTATCGAGTAAAAATGTTTTTAAAAACAAGAAAGACTTATAAACACAAAGAGCAATGGCAGAAAAATAGTTGACCAAAATTATAGCGTCTAGAAATAAGTTATATATAAAATGAGTTTTATAATTTTTCTATGATTTTTCAAATAAAAATTTATTTTAATTAAAGCCACAGAAAAAAACAAACATTTTTGGGAATATCAAATGACTGAAATCATTTTACACTATTCAAATGTTGCCATTTAGTATATTCCTACTATTTTGGTATACACTTTGTAACACTACCAACACAACACACAAAATATTTTTATATTAAGTTGTTATTAGTAATAACTGTACTATCAGTAATAACAAAAATAAAAGTAATATGGCTGAGAATAAGTCTCTTACAAAGAATTTCCTACAATAATACATTATCTCAATCATAGTACTATGTAACAATTCCATTTAATGTTATGCCAACACTAGCTAAAATAAAATGTCACTGTTTTTTTTACTGGCTTTACGCCTCTGGGTTCTAGCCCTTCTGAGAATATCACTATGGTACAAAAGACCTGGAGCCATGCCAGAAATATATATTTATAGTATGCAAATATATAATAGAGATACAATAATCTAAAAACTCTCAATTATGTATTATGTATTAAGCTAACATCAAACAACCACAGGAAGCATGACTTTTTCCAAGTGACATAGGACATAACCTAAAAAGGTTCAAATGTAAATATCTTTTTTTTGGCGCCTTCTCAGTACAAAATTCTTTGACAGAGTTATTAAGGGACTGACGCTTAACATTTTAAGATATTTTTGGTATATAGACGCTCCCATTTCTTCTCAACTAATTTTATGTATGAAAGTCTGCCATTGCTCTTTGCTTCAAAACTATTATCGTTTTAGGTTTTACAGTTCGATCCTTCCATTTATAACTTCTCACAATTTACAGTTCGAAGGATGAGTTTAGACTATGATTAGTTATTTGACTATTAATTTCATAAGGAGGAATATCTATCTCATTATTATTATTCTTTCATCATTATGAATCTTTAGTTATTATATCATTTATGAATATTTTAGTTGTCAATAAAAATTTAAAAGAACATCGAATAAAAATATCAGCATCATTAAATAAAACCAACATGAGTTGACGGATTCATCAACTCATAAAAACCATATCAATAAAATATCGTTATATTTTTAAAAATTAAATCATAAAAGTCCCATCAGGTTATTTATACAAACAATCATAACTTTTTCATTATAAATTCAAATGTTCTATATGAAATTCAGGTAGACCCAATTTCACCCGAAAATTACCAACATTAAGTACTTTGACGGGCAATTTAGCAGTCATATTTACGCGATGTGCGCTATTTACCAGACACACCAGAAATTTTTACCTGAGAAAGAGATTTATCTGAAATATTTTTTAGATACCAATATACATCATTAACTACTTAAGATACTTTATATCAGCATTTTATACTCTTAATGCTTTAATGAATCCTCTCCTGTGGGTGTCGTAAGAGGCGGCAGAGGGAAACTAATCAGGAGATGAGCAGTTGCGTCTTCCTAATAATGACTAAAAATAAAAAATAAACTGCGGTTGCAAACCCGCTTGCCGGGCGTGGTAACAATGGTAAATTGTTAGAGGAGATCCCTATGAGGCAATCTATAGGGGAGCGTTATGTTCAGCAGTGGACTTTAGTAGGCTGTAACTGTAACGGTGATGCTTTAACACGTGTAATGGGTAAATTTTAAGCTATTGTATAGATCATTAGGGTATTAGGACAGCAAGATACACGTAAAATCCTTGTAAGTCTATCATACTTAATTTTTGATATACAACTTTATATTAACCCTCTGCTACTGAGGTGCCTTTCTTGTAACTATTCTACTGAGGAGTAGCCTGTCAGACGTATACTTTAGGTAAGGATTTTTCAAATTTTATTGTTAGTTATTGAAAATAAAACTGAATTTAGCAAAGTTTACATTATATTTCTTAAGCCATTGTAAAAAACAGACCAATAAAACCATTGTTTTAAGAAAATATTATTTATTACCGAAACCTTATGAATTATAGGAACATTTGTAATTAGGAACTTTGACATTCAAGAAAAAGAATAAAATTAAAAGAAATAACAAAAAAAACATAACGTTGCCTTCTTCAAGTTTCAAAAAACAAAAAACACTTAAATTATAAAAATCCTTACAGTGATTTTTTTTTAATCAGTCTCAAAGTTCAGTCTTGCAGTCAACACAAATTTGCGAGGAGCACTGTAAACAAATATGTTTCGCACATATACAACAAACAAATCTTGTTTGTCGCTTCAATTTACTAGGGCAGATGCGACATAATTTTCTTGATGATGTACTAGGCTCATTACAAGACTCGGGTAAAGGTGGTGGGGGCAGGTCCTGACCTAGTACACGTCGCAGAGTCAATCGCAATTCTCTTGGGAGTTTTTCATTGTAAACTCGCTGTTTTAATGCGGGTAATACTAGTTCTCTGGATAGATGCATAAGGAAATCTCCTCTTCTCAATTTCGTACCTTCACATTGACCATAAAGTACATATGCATTGATGCCAGCAATATCTAGTACTCGATAAAATATAGCTTGTGGCCAACGTCTCGTTTTACGACTGCAGGAATATATCGCACATTTTTATCGATTTCGTCGACCCCGCCTTTTGTGTGATTATAATCGACTATTATGGTCGGTTTTCTAGTTTCTGTGTCCGTACTTGCACTATGGTGACAGCTAGAAATTAGTATGACGGCTTTATCTTTTTTCGGGACAAAAGACAACAAAGTGAGGTCTTTTGTAAAACCATGAAGAGAACTTTCAACAGCTCTGTTTTTACTTGGCATAAACTCTGGAGGTATTTCTCGTTTGTTCTTTTTTAATGTTCCCAAATATGTCAGTCCTTTTTTCAATAGCATTTCTGCCAGAGGTATTGAGCTGAACCAATTGTCCGCTGTCACATTACGATTGGTATTTTCAATGGGTTTTATAAGTCGCAACACAGACTGTGTAGGGACAGAAAGCTTTTTCTCAGCCTCCGGGAGACCTACACCATCAGAACCCTTGCCGTGGTAAATGTATGCGTTATATACGTAGGATTCCCGGGCGTCGCTCAAGACCATTATCTTGATCCCATATTTAGCGGGTTTTTTGGGCATGTAGATGACAAATTTGCAGCGACCTTTGAAGGCTAATAGCATTTCGTCAACGCAGGTGTATGGACCAGGTGTGTAATTTGCTTGACAATTTGCGATAAATTTATCAAAAAATCCAGAAACAGCAGCAAGAGGGTCAGTTTCTAAGCGCTCCTGTCGGTCATCAATATTGTCCAGCCTCAAGCAATTCAAAAGTGTGTTGAATCTATATTTAGACATGACACATCTAAATATTTCATGACCTGTTCCATCAGTTGCAAACAAATAGTTTGAATCAGCATCGTTACATTTGAATACTGAGGAATAGTATAATAATCCAAATAAAGATCGAATTTCTACAGCATTTGTATCTCTCAGCTCGTGTTTCGAATAATTAGAGAACTGGCGGCGGTAAACTTCAAGTTTTTTATTTGTACAGGAAACTATTGTTTCTATCATATTGTCATCAAAAAGCTTCAGCCAGAGTGCTTCGTAACCAGGAAATCTCGTATGATCAGGGTTTTGTCTAGGTAAAGACACAATGTTACGAGCTAGTGTTCGCGATGTCCTTAAAAAGTCAGTAACTGACCAAACAAAACCATTTTTACCTCGATAACAATTGCGGTTCGAGTCAGGCGTATTAGTAGAACGATTTGTCCCTTCACTCGATGTTTCAATTTCTATTTCTTCGACTTCTGAAATCTCAATCGCAACATGTTCTTCTTCTTCAATTGTAAAATTTTGATCAGCTACTTCGTCGTCTACATCACTAAACTCGTGCTCGTTATCTTCTTCTAACCACTGTTCAATTAATTTTTCTGTAAGATTTCTCTTCCTCGAATTACTGGTACTCGCCATCTATATAGATAGAAACAAAAACATAGGTCATTAAAATTATATAGAAACATATTGCTAAGGTGATGAACGACAGATACTTTTAACATAACTATTTTACTGATGTGACGTATGTAAGACATTAGGGTATTATAAATATTTTACTGACAATACGTATGACAGATCCATCACTTATTACTGACCTTACGTCCTGTAGACACCTGATAGCTCCAACTAGCCACGTGCGCACACTGCGGCTGCCGTCGCCGCACTAAAGCGTAGGTGGCGCTCTCAGAGGAAGGTACTGAGCGAGACAGGAGATTATGTCGCGAAATGACGGAATGAGACAGACATATAAATTTTGCGGTGTCTGACGTACGTTACGTCAGTAGCAGAGGGTTAAAGGTCTCCGTTTGAACGCTAATAAAACTAAGGTTCTGGTATTTGAAAGGGACGAAGAGAGAACGAAGTGTGAAATATGGGTAAATCAGGAATGTCTAGAACAAGTAGATGAAATTGTATACTTGGGGAGTGCTTTTAGCCGGGATGGAAGATGTGATTTAGATGTGGACAGGCGTGTCGCTGCCGGGAACAAAGTCAATGGTGCCCTGACTGCGTTAGTCAAAAGGCAAGGCGTAGTGAAGAGTGCACGCCTTGCAATACATAACGCAGTGTTGGTACCGACTTTGTTATATGGCAGCGAAACCCGGGTATGCCAGAAGAAGCATAAAAGTAAGTTGAATGCAGTGGAGATGCGATCTCTTCGTAAAATGTGCAGCGTTACCATGGCCGACCGAAAGCGAAACGAAGAGATTCACAATATGGCAGGTTTGAAAGATGACCTTATCACAAAAATTGATAAGGGCGTGCTTCGGTGGTTTGGGCACGTTGAGCGAATGAGTGAAGACCGAATGGTGAAGAAAATATATAGCGCGAAAGTTAATATTAAAAGGTGTCGAGGTAGACCGAGACTAACTTTCGAAGACCATGTGAGCAAATTGCTCGAAGAGGGTAGGGTCAAGAGTACTCGGATACCTGGACGTGCATGTATGAAGAAGATAATGAATCTGAAAGAAGCGAAAGAGGTATGTAAGGATCGTGACACTTGGCGATCTCTGGCTACCCCGTCAGGGATTGTGCGTGAAGATAAGTAAAGTAACTTTATATTATATTATAATAAACTGAACGTAATGGTAACGCTTAGCCTAGGAGTATTAGTTACCGTTAAAGTATATAATTTAGTTAATTCATATACCTAATCATTCTAACAATACCAGTTACTCTTAGGTTATCTATATAATACCTAAGTAAAGTAATTTTTTAATTAAGTAATCCCTACTTTACTAAATAAAAATACTAAATTTCCTGCACGTTGGAACATTTAACAGAATGCATAAATATTTTGTACAGTACCAGATTAAACAAATTGCTGAAAACATATATAATTAAGGTATAATTACTGAAGGTTAGTATCAACCAATGAAAGTGGTGTTTAATTACACTTGAAACAAACAGAAAGCTTTCTAATCTTCGTTTTAATCACTGGGAGACACGAACGGTTGTAATTAAGACTTCTGGTTTTATACAACTACCTCGGAGGGTTCATCAACTCGTCTCACGAGTTTGTTTTGTCACATTTGTGAAGCACAGTCCGGAATCAAAAACGCTTCGAAACCAAATTGTGGTTGTAGATATTAATTTCGTATAACATAAACATCTGCATAAGTAAACCCGTCTGTAACGGTTGAGAATAAATCTAATTAACTGTAGATTCTAAAGTCTTAAATAGTTGCATTATGTAATTTTCTCATGATTCAACACCTTGCATTTAATTTTATGTTACGTGTTTTTCCCACATCTTCTTCCGCGTTGAGGTCGGAAATCGATCTAATTTCAAAAAATATTGGCCATTGTGTAGTACCAAAACGTAAAAAAGCATTAGGGCCTGCGCTCACAGACGGCACGGCATGGCACGGCGTGTCAAAGGAATATTTTCATGGACAAAAGATTTTTGACCTTATTTTAGTGATTTTAGCACTGACATTCATTTATTTCAACACTAGTAGACCGAAATGTCCACTTGACACCGCGGCATGCTGCTACACATCACGTCCTTCCGTGGAATGCTGCGGCACATCACGGCATTCCATGGGATGCCGCGGCACGCCGCTGCATCACGTAAAACGCATAAGTTACTTCATGTCGTTAAAGGAATGTGACTTCTAAGTAATTGAAACAAGGTTGAATATATCCCCTTGCGGCAATCTCAGCGACTCGCGCCAGCGTCCAGTAAATGAACGCGTCTTCACTTGTTTGGCATGTAGCGGGATGCCACAGAAATGTGCCTTGCCACGCCATGCAATGCCGTGCCGTCTGTGATCGCATGCCCTAAAGAGGTAAATACAAAAAATATGCTCGAGATCTTTCCCACAAGTAACGTGCATTTTTTCTGGGATGAAAATTAGCCTATGACACTTTCAAAAACATTTCACACTCTGCAAAAACATTTCGATCCGTTGCTTCATTGCTGCGTCAAAGAAGAACAAACCAAAACACACTTTCTTATTTTTAGGGATATCTTGTTCTGTATGTTTCCCATCTCTAGTTATAAATAATTTCAAATTTTGTGCAACCGACTTCAATATAAATTAATACGAATAACTGAAAAACTATTGATCAAACCTTGATCAAATATATATGGAACCACAAGAGAAGCACCAGCTTTCAAATAAAAAAAGAATCATCGATATCGGTTCACGCAAGAAAAAGTTATGAGGTAACACACATAAAATTAAAAAAAACATACAGTCGAATTGAGTACCTCCTCCTTTTTGAAGTCGGTTGCAAATACTTATAGTCCGAAACCAAACATAATCCATTTGTTGTTACGTGTACTACATATTTTTCATTGCTATTATCTTACTATTGTGTCTGAAAATCGGACAGGAAAATTGCTAAAATATTATAAAAATCAATACGAGTCTGTGTAGGACCATTGCCATGAAGTAGCTGCGTAAAAAATTCACTACATTTTTTATTTACTTATTATAAGCCAGTGCTTGACCACAATCCCACCTGGTGGTTAGATGGTAAATTTCACTGTGTTATCGTAACAAAAGCGTATTCACACTTGCGTTGAAGACGTCCAGATTGTATTCGGACGGAAAGATAGACATACTTTCGTCCCGTGGGTATCGTAAGGGGCAACGTCGGAATATACCAGAAAGAAAAATAGATGCACGATTATATTCTAAAGATTTTGATTATCATCATCATCACCATAATAAATTAATTTAATTGTTTCCACTGCTAAATTGTTATGATAACGATATCCTACATTTACCAACATAATTTTTAATTCTATATCAGTATATATTATTTCTTATATTTAATTAAAATAATTTTCGCATCTTCTCTGAATTGCCGAGAAGTTAATTAAAAACTTAATGTTGCTTTGTCTAAGCAAAAGAAATATACATAAACGTGACTAGAACTGCAGCAGTAGAATGACTACATTTGAACATTATGTTTAGGTTATTTAGCTTTCCTATTTCATACTTAATTTAATACTTTAAATAATTTAAATATACTGTGATAATTTAGGCGTTATCGTAATTTAACGTGCTTCGGGCATATATATGTAATTAGATTCTATCCGCAATTTGCTTATAATGATCAGACATATATTTATGTATTTAAGTTTATAAGCATATATACACATTGAATATATGTATGTTTGTATATTTGGATTTTTTACTATGTACGAGCAGGTCTAGAGAGACCAGTATCACTGCGACCTAAAAGATCTATTGTGATCGCGGCTATGTCTATAATTCACTGCTGTGCTGTAAAATGTGCTAGTGCTCTAGTTGTACCTCTGTCCTTGATAATTAACAAATATCTTTGTTCTGGAACGTTTCCCAGCGCTTGGAAAACTTCTCTCGTTATACCGTTACACAAAGGAGGCTATATAAACTCAGTGAAAAACTATAGGCCAATATCAATTATTACGGTGTTTGCTAAAGTCCCTATAATGTCTTGGCATCTAAGACACTTAACTGCACCGCAACAGCACGGTTTTATGAAAGCCCGCTCTACCACGACTAATCTGATATACTTCGTTGAAGGCCTGGCCGAAGGTGTTGAGCATGCGAAGTCTTGCGATGTCATATACACTGATTTTAGTAAGGTTTTTGATAAAGTCAGTCACGATATGTTATTGCACAAATTATCATATGTCGGCATAGGAGGTAATCTCTTGCGCTGGTTCAGATCTTACCTAACGAATAGACTGTCTGTGGTGGTAGCAGTGGGTCTCAAATCTGGCTTTTTACAACCTTTTCCGGAGTTCCTCAAGGATCCCATCTGGGTCCCATGCTGTTCAACGTTTTTATTCATGATATCGGTAATTGTTTCCAAAATTCTAGAGTTTTACATGTTTGCCGATGATTTAAAGTTTTTAAAATCAGTAAATTTATTAGAGGATGTATTGTTGCTTCAAAACGACTTGGACAATCTAGTACTATGGTGCAAATCTAATGGTATGAGCTTGAATATTGACAAATGCCACGTGGTTTTTTTTTCATTTATATAATTAGGTTGACAAACGAGCACACAGTCCACCTGATGGTAAGTGGTTGCTGTGGCCCATAGACATCTGCATCTATCTTCGTTTGCGAATTAAAATGCAAATGCATTGTCAGCCGTGAGGACTAAGATCGAATGCCTCTTTTCTAGTAAAATGGGTCTCCGGTTCTCTACACTCACCATACGAAACACAGCAGCATTAAGTTGCTATTTTACGCTGGTATTCTGTGAGAGCGTGGTCCTTCCCTGATCGAGCCGACCCATTCGTGCTATAACTATACTATTAATATAGCTGCAGCATGGCTCTATCACGTAAATAAACAGTCGAGGAGTAGGTAAGAATCGGCCTCATTATACTGCTGTACAGTCATAGGATCATACTGGGGCGCAAGACTTAGTTGTTCCCGACCATGCCATTGCACGTAGCTAAAGAAATT